TCACCCAACCGCTACCCTCCTACCCTACCCCTTACCCTCCCCCCCCCCCAACCTCCCTAGCCCTTTCCCCCTTCCCCCGGCTGCCAAAGTCCTGCAAATACATAGGAAAGTATCAAATATTAGTTAAAACTCAAATATGCTCTTATCCAAACCAAAGAAAAAGAAAAAAATATGTTTTATATCTAATAACATAAGAATAAATCTACAGTGAACCTTATATTAAAGCTTCCACTTTGCACCCTAGAGTGAAAAAGATTGCAGCTTTTGCATATGAACAGTAAAAATTGAGGCATATTTAAAATGGGGTTTGGATAGTTTCTCAGGCAGCAAAGACTTTGCCGTTGTCTTTGCCGTTGATGAAAGAACTTCATAAAACCATAAGGTTGAAGGTTTTTGCTGCTTCCCGATCTACTTTTGTTTGTTACTCAGAAAGGCATAATGGTTGTTTGAGGTTCAAGGAATCATATTAGCCATTTTATTTGCAATATGACTTCTTGGGCCTGCACCTATGATGCTCCTCCTACAATCCTAGGTGATCTGAGAAACAGATTACAGTTAACAAGTTCTTGATAAAAATGATGTAACCTAAGTAGTACCTTAGAAGTGACTAACAGGGCATCCTAGTATCCATCCACAACATAAATTCTCTCTATGGTGGGCTCTACTAAATAAGGCTTGCTACAGATGACAGATTACAGAAGTTCGGCATAAATGTTCTTCCTACATGTGTATTCTGCCAATCTGCTGATAAAACAAGAGACCACTTATTCTTCAAACGCACTGTGACACAAAGCCTATGGCGTAAGATGATACCATGGGTGAACATACAGAGAACAAATGGTACTTGGCAGGATGAAGTAGAGTGGGTTGTTATATCAGCTGCTTGTTTGGTTTGGTGATAGCTGTTATATGGAGAGAGCGCAACTTGATCAGATTCCAAAACAATAGTTATAAGATGGAAAGAATATGTAGAGAAATAACTTTATGCATACATACACGAGGAGAGACTGGAAGACACGGCAACCCATGCTGATAGATATGACACAAAATCATTGGTGTGACAGACAACAACAAGAACCTGATAACCATGTTTGAAAAGGGAACTTTGAACAGTAGAGTCAATATATTACTATTTTGATAGGATATGTAAAAGGAGTCCAAATATTTTTCAATTTTCTTCTGGTTATTTATTACATAGAGAAACAGTTGGACAGCACTGTTTCATTTTGTAATGAGCTAATTTGGTCTAAATAAAATTGTTTTATTTACCCCAAAAAAAACAATCAAAAAAGAACTCTAGCTAAAAATGAAAGATCTTTAAAAGCTTATCCTTGTGAAATGGAAGTAAAAAAAAATCCAAATGTTACAAGCTTTAGCAACAAAATTACCTTCTCGCAGCGATGCTGAGTCATGCATGTTTCCCAGCTTCAACGGCCTCTTCCACACCCTTTGTAGTCAGCATCTACACAACCAGTGGACAAGCATTTTTAATTCCACATAGACTCAGATGGGAATCAGATGTGGAGCTGCAGAGTAGCTTAAAACAATCATATAATTTATCCCATGAAAAAGCATTTCCGTTAAGGGGAATAGTTACTTCTTAATGTGATAATGAAAAAAATGATCACAGATTTTTCTTGTCCTATGCTTGTGCTTATGATTATCTTAAAAATTACAGTTCAAGAGATGGACTATGATACTTGTATTCTTATGGGAGTCACTGGTTGTGGAACTTGATGGTGCTGAAGTACCATCTCTTGAAAATAACAGTTCAAGAGTGAACAATTACAGAAGTACTTCTCTTTCTAGAAAAAAAATTTCCTTTTCTCAACAATCCACACATCTACCTTGAAACCTTAGACACTTATCTAAAGGAAACATGCCCATAATCAAGACACAGTCCAGACTTTCCAACCGATTGGTGAAGTGTCACAGAAATCATAAATGTCAATGAAAAGTTCATGCAGACCAAATGCTGTGCATTTTAACTATTTAAGATGGAACAAGATTAGTACAATACAGTTACCCAGAGAAACAGAATAACTAAGCATTACCAATAAATTTAATTAGCAATCTAGATAGACCTAATTCTACATTAAGATGAAAATGAATGTTCTATAAATTTCAATGACAAAAGGAAAGCATAAATCAAAAACCCCACCAATTGAATAACTAAGCATTAGCAATAAATTTAATTAGCAATCTAGATAGACCTAATTCAAGATTAAGAACTACAAAACCTAATGAAAAATGAGAAATAGATCAAATATTTGCACCGTTAACTACCAATTGGAACAATAACTATGAAATTCATAATGAAAACGAAAGCAGACACTAAAGGCAACATCAAGAAATTCATAAATTCGATAAGAATTCAATTATACATGAACAAAACCTTGCATCAATTCTCCGCCTCTTCATGAACAACATCAAGAAAAACATCAATCAACTCAGCGCCTTCAGTATAATGACCTTTCCCCCAATTATTCCCAGCACCAGAATGCCTAAACAAAAAGTTATCAAAACAGAAGATCTGTAAATACGGACCAGATCCATAAGAACAGCCCTAGGAACATAGCGCTCACCAGAAGCTTCGTTGAAATAAAATTGATACGTTTAAGCTGAAGATCGAACTCACCGGTAGGAACAGGATCAACACTGTGTCGTCCATCACAGATAGCTTCCCAGAAAACACCGAGTTTTCTCTCACGCTCCTATAACGGCTATATGGGAAGTTGTATTTTGTAATAATATATAAAAGTCTGAAGCTCCATAATAAAAATGTAAATTACTGTTTTACCCTTTCGTTAAATTACAATTTAATTTATTATTTAATTAAATATAAATATTATAATTACACAATGGTGTGTTTGTATATATATATATATGTTGTACAAAAGAATTATATTCCCTTTATAGCCTTTATATGATTCTCATTGGACTTTGTAAAATTAGTACTCAATATTACCCAATGATTGAATTGAGTAAAGGTCTAACGATATTGATTTATAAAGTTTTATAAGGTCGTTCTTATTTTAATAAATTAAAAAAACTCTTTCAATATACATAACTTTCAATTTCGCTTATGCGTAAAGAGACTATCAATTATAAAAACACGTTCCTTTCCTTTGATAGTACGTACGGTTTATACTCCACTTTCGTTGACAAGTAGCTCCACTTCTAACAAGACTTTGAAGAATGGTGGATATTAAGGAAACTAGAGAGCAAGACAAAAGTTTCAAGTTTGAGCACATGTAAAGTCAAAAGCTGCATCAATTTCTAGATTGGAAAAAAAAAAACTAGGCTACTAACGAGGAGTATATACTATATGTATTTAATTGAGTGAGATTCAATTTATTTTCATGATATTCTGAATAGCTTCGAATTTGAAAGAACTCTTAACAAAAATTATAGGTTGTTCCCTCAAGATATCGACACTTTTGTTGACAGTGCAATAATTGAAACAAAATAGTGGAAGGGTCATGATATGATAGTTACAAGTTCGGTTCATCTTAAAAAATTGTTTCTCTAACGATGTGAATTGCTTTACATCATATATCTATTTGAGTAGGCTTTATGTATAACTTTTTTCTTAGTGAATTTCTACTACCACCTTCAATTTGTCCCATTATGATAAAGATTGTGTATTAAATAAAGTTTAAGATTTTTAAAAAAATCAAAGGAAACTTACATAAATATATATATTAAAAAATATTATTATTTATAGTAATAATATATTTTTTTTCACTTAATCACTTTTAAAACATTAATACAACGTTAATATATATTACAAGGAACACTTTATTATTCTCATATAATACAAGTTATATTGATGGATAATATAGTTAGTTATACCTTTTAATACACTTATACTACAAGGTGTCAACTACTTACTAAACAAACATAATATATTTTTAAAAACAATTATAATACATACATATTTCATACTTAATTCACTTTTAATACATATGACAGATTTAACATAATATTGCTAAAAATAATAATGAATAAAAAATATCACTAAAATCAGTAATTATTTATTAAAAACATTAAAACAAACGAAAATAACATAAATGGTTACTTAATTATTAAAGTAGGTCTAAAATGATCTCTTTAACTATAAAGTCAGTGTTTTGCTTGATTTCCACATTATACATATTTCATGGCATAAGTAACACTTCAAACTTTTTCCTTCTCACATTCTCAGTGCATTGCTTTTGTTTCCTTAGATGTCCTGCAACATCTCGTATTCGTGCAAAGATGCTTTACGCCACCTAAAGACGCATTTAAAAGAGAGCGCGATGGTTTCATTATGAGATTTAGGCTACTGATCCAACAGAAGTTGTTCTTGAAGTGCTGAAAGACCGTGCTCACTGAGCCATCTTGCAATAAACACTATCTTTCCTCTTATAAGGAACAGAACTCGCAGGGCCTTACTATCATCATAGTTATTAGTGCCAATATATCATCGTGTTTCTCACAGAGGAAAATTCATCTTAAATAATTGGGCATCTGGGAACGCTGATTTCCAACTAAGCATTTAGCTTGTTAGTGTATATCATGTTGGTATTGTACTGTTTTCCTTTTTTGTCAGATGTTTGAACACTTGGGAACCGGCATAATAATATGATATCAGTGGTTGCCAATTTTCCATTAGTGGACTATCAGTGGTCCTATTTCTTCAGCTAAGGACTATGAATATAAATATGTATTTCATTAGAATCAACATCTAATGCTCAATTAGTTATGAACTTTTTTCAAGATCAAAAATAGTTGAAAAAGACAATCATTGGGAGTAACTACTTTTAGACACAAAGCATATAAAATTCTGGTAACAGTAATTACACAGAATCACAAATACCTGTAACTCTACACTAATAGCTTCAATTAAAGAAACTATGGTACTAATAGATAGAACATATAAAGGATGAAAGGGAAAGAAATGAAGCTAGTAACTGCTTTTAAACACCATTAGACCCCCATCCTGAGTCCACCCACCATGAGGCCCCCACCCTGAGTCCGCCTGCCCGCCCTAAGTCCACCCACCTAGAGCCCAGTCGTTCTTAAACGAACGTTAAGGTCATTTACTCGATTCCCTGCTGGCTGCTCATACGAGTATGATAGATGTCTATAATTTGACTTACTTTTGAATTCGTTGTTGGAGAAAGAGAAAATGATTACTTCTGGTTGTCACATCTTCTCACCCTGTGAGACTCATTTTTGAAAGGCTTAGTTCTGCTGCCCCCCTCTCTCTTTTCTCCTTTGTTTTTCGGAGAAGACGCATGGAAGAATATTAATCTCGTTGTCAGTGTGTGAATAACAACAGTTGCAATTCATTTTCATCATGGAGCTAAATTCTACAAGATGAGAGTACCGAAAAACTTCTTAGACATTCATGTATAAACCCAATGTTGTTGACATTTTAGTTGGGCTGATTGTGCTGAATAGATCCACATGATTAAGCGTTTCAGTTGTTCGTAAAATTTGTATAATTCCTGTACCCAAGGGGATGGACTAATGGTGAAGGGAGGTCCCAGGTTCGAATTGCAGTTATAACACTTAGTGTGAGCCCATTTCCTCCTGTTTGGTTGGCAGGAATGCTTTGCAATACGTGCTTGTGGGTTGGACAGTTTGTCCAGTTGATTAGCTGAAATGCATTCAAGTTGAATGGAACCACTGATATAAGGATCCTTCCCTGTATCCTATTTTTGTTATTTACTTTGACTCACATATTATGAGAAGAGTTGGAGAAGTGAGTTGTTTAGTGGTAGTTGGAGACTTGGAGGAACATGTAGACTACACATTTACTTCAGTGTTTTTGGAATATCATATAGTAAAGTAATAAACATCTATTTGATGTTGGATATGTTATTGAAACTGCTGTTCCTAAGAAATAGAAGAGTATCATCATTAGTTTATTCCATTAATGGTCTGGTAATATAATGATGATTTTAAAAATCTACTCAATCACTCTCTGTAGGTTTCAATTTTCCAAATAAATCACCAGAGAAGTAGATTAAGTTTATGTCTGTCATTTTGCAAGATCATATGCACTGTTCCCTGCTGTACAATGGTGCCCTTTGTTTCTTGTTAAGATTTATACTGGACATAGTACAATAGCTAATGCATTATAATCCATTTACTGTTCTGTCTCCATCTTTTAAATGTCTAGAGATTGTGAGGCAAGTTAGGGCGCCCCATATGAATGTCAAGAAGATTTATTAAAGCCGACTAAAGCTAAAAATTGTTGATAGGGGGCAACAATAGGAAGATGTTCAGTTGGTCAGCACTCGTCTTTGACCACCTTCTTGGTTCATACTCCTGTTTCAAGATAGAGATCTTAGCCCATTCTGTTGAATTACAATGCGAAATTCTCCCTTTAGAACCCTGTAAAAGGATAGGAAAAAAAGAGAGCATAAAATAAATTGAAAAAGGAACGAATGTAGTAGAGAAGGTTTCAACTTCCAAATAAATCACCAGAGAAGTAGATTAAGGGGAACAAGTCCCATTTGAGTGGGTAAGCAGTGGTTAAGGTGTAAAGGCAGTTTGAGCTTGTTTTGGTTGTAAAAGACTGGGTTAAATATAAGTAGACTGGAAAAGAAACAGATAGGGCTCTACCAATTACCAAGCAACGTACTAGAAGCTCCCATCCGTATTAGAACCCCCACCTTTTGAGTGTTCTCAAAGCTTTGCCAACAAATGGAGCGACTCCTGCCCATGGTCTATAATGTTCCCATCTACTTCAGAGTTGGACGATGCTCGTGGAATGACACCTTAATGCATATTTCATCCAACATGAAGTTGTGGTGCTAATTACATATTTCCAAGAACATGAAAGTAGCATTTTTGCATATTTTCAGGTTGAGGAACAAGCTCTTGGTCGGGATGGTGGAGGCATATCTGCCAATGTTCAGTAAGTAGTGAATATTATCCTATAACTACTTTCGTTGGAGGAGTAAAATAGATAGTTCCACAACCTTTTCTCTTATCGGCAATCGATTTTCAAGTTCTAATACAATAGACTACCCTGGTTTTTGGCTGTTTCTCCAGAGGTAGACAAAGGATGAGCAGGGGAGGTCCAAGAGAAAAAGAGAGTGAGGCATTCAAGTGATCCAGATCTAATGTAATTTGGACTCTGGTGAAACGGTAGGTTTGTCGATTTGGAATGATTACATTGGTCGATTTTGACATGTACAAATATATTTGGCGGCCTAGAATTGTATTTCTTTAGTATTGGCGGACATCAGATTAAAAAGATATTGTATCCCAGTGAATATTTTTCTCTGTTGCTATTATATATAGTAAGTAGTATATGTTTTTGACCACAACACCCAATGAACGTTTTGTTTTTCCTTTTGAGTGTCAATATGACACTTCAGACTTGGTTCCTGCGTTCTGTCTGGGACCAAAATTGTACAGAACATATATTGTTCTTCCAGATACATCTATAATATGTGTAAAACATAATGCAGTGTAAGTTTTAATCGTTTCAATGGTTGTGTATAGAACCCTAGTAAATCATGAATGATATTTGTCTCAGTGGACAGTAAGTCTCTTCGACATTTGGCTTTTCTTTTCTTGAAAAACTTGCTTGAGGCCATTTTTAAGGGCAAATTTGAAAAATAAAGAAGCCCACTTTCAATTTTAATTTTTGTGTTTAGCTTGCTAAGCTAGAAATTTTCGGAGAACGTGTCAATGTATCATTCAGGAGGCAATTTTGACCAGCTTAAACTGAACAACAAGGATTGATCTAACACCATTACTGTAGCTGTTACATAATGTCAAAGATAACAAAATAAAAATACTATTTGCTTCATTTTGGCAGTATCTATTCTTTTCTTCTCTTATAGTAGTATAATTATTATCTAATCTATTTAACCAACTCATATTCCTCTTTCTTTCTTCCTCTCAAGGCTCATTTAATTTTTCTTTTTGCTCTTCTCATGTCTTTCAAATTCAGAGGGGTATGTTATCTATCTTTAATTTTGTTTTGTTCATCTAAGTCTTTGATCAATTTGTATGTTATGTTCACTTTTTAATTTTGAATTTATGTTGTAGTCCCTTAGGAACATCTGATCATTATGAGAACCAACTTATCAAGTTATAAGGACAGGATACATTTTCCAACTAGGATAATTGAACATAAAAATGGAACAGAGTTATGTGGTGGTGTCTCTAGCTATTACTCCTGGGAAGTAGCTGATATCCGATGGAATAGTCAAGGCGCTTTAAATCTAATTTGGCTTGACACCGTCACAATTAATACAAAAGAAAAATGTCAATTTTGAAAAGTTATATTAGTTTTCTTAGCTAACGGTTTGATCATAGATTTTGAGAGTATGTTTTTAAAATATTGTTGACCGTGACATCTGATCAGATTTTGGAAATATGATCTTAAAATATTTTTGACTAATGTAAACCAGTTTTTGGGACTTTCACTCACAAAACTTCAAATTTTTTTCAAGTAAAATACATGTCCAAACAGAACTTTAAAAAGCTATGTCCAAACCGGAACTCAGTGAAGCACTAAATTATTGTGTACTTGAAACCCTCAAATTATATCTCTGTTTTCATGTGAAGTATTGACACTGGACTGGATTTTTTCCTTGAGTTTCAGCCAAATGCTTCTTCTGGAATGGGTGTGGCTGATCACGGCAAAAATGCATTCTTGGAGTTGAAGAGGAAGAAAGTTCATAGATACGTGATTTTCAAAATCGATGAAAAGAAAAAGGAGGTTGTTGTTTGAGAAAGATTTGAACTTCAAACGGACATAAAATGTGATTCTTAAGTCAGATCAAGGAGACTTTTTTTGCAACACGATTATTTTTTTGATATCTACGGGAAAAAATACCACATACTGTCATAGGACTTATAGTTTTACATTTATCGACTTTTGACCATATAAAGGGCAAAATTATAAGGAAAAAAATGAAAGTCAAATAGAAAAAAGAGATTGAGTCTAGCTCGTAGATCTCTAAAAATAAGAAAGTTTTAAAAAAGAATCTCATCCAAAAGATATTCGAGGAAAAATTCACGGTCATTTGAAGTTTCAACAAATGTAAGTTTAAAGAGGTACTTGTGAAAATTTGAACTTTAAACATAAAACGCGCATCCGATGTCCGATCGAGGCAATTTTTTTTCAATATATAGTTTTACGTTTATCGATTTTTGACCATATATAGGGTAAAATTATAAGGAAAATTGAAAGTCAAATCGGACAAACGGATTGAGTCTACCGCGTAGATCTCAAAAAAATAAATAAGTTTAAAAAAAGAATCGCATCAAAAAGATACTCGAGGAAAAATTTACGGCTATTTAAAGTTTCAACAAATATAACGTAAAAGGGGTACTTGTGAAAATTTAAACTTTAAACGGACATAAAATATGCATCCGATGTCCGATCAGGGAGTTTTTTTCAAACCTGATTATTTTTTTTGATATCTACGCGAAAAATATCACACACCGCCATAGGACTTATAGTTTTACGTTTATCAGCTTTTGACCATATATAGGCCAAAATTATAAGAAAAAAATGAAAGTCAAATCGAACAAAGGAATTGAGTCTAATGTGTTGATATCACAAAAATGAACAGGTTTAAAAAAGAATCACAACCAAAAGATACTGGAGGAAAAAGTTACGACCGTTTGAAGTTTTTACAAATATAACGTTAAAGGGATACTTGTAAAAATTTAATCTTTAAACAAACATAAAACGCGCATTCGATGTCCGATTGAGGAGTTTTTCTTTCCAACATGATTAATTTTTCAATGTTTATGCGGAAATACACCACATACGGTCATAGGACTTATAGTTTTACGTTTATCGATTTTTGACCATATAGAGGCTAAAATTATAAGGAAAAATGAAAGTCAAATTGGACAAAGGGAATGAGTCTACCGCGTAGATCTCAAAATACTAAACAAGTTTAAAAAAAGAATTGCCTCAAAAATATACTCGAGGAAAAAGTTACGGTCATTTGAAGTTTCAACAAATGTAAGGTTATAGGGGTACTTGTGAAAATTTGAACTTTAAACGGACATAAAATGCGCATCCGATGTCCGATCGAGGCGATTTTTTGTCAACCTGATTATTTTTTTGATAGATACGCAAAAGAACACCATACACGGTTAGGACTTATAGTTTTCTGTTTATCGGTTTTTGACCATATATAGGGCAACATTATAAGGAAAAAATGAAAGTCAAATCAGACAATGAGATTGAGTCCACCGCGTATATTTCAAAAAAAAGCAAGTTTAAAAATAGAATCACCTTCAAAAGATACTCGAGGAAAAAGTTACGGTCATTTGAAGTTTCAACAAATGTAACGCTAAAGGGATACTTGTAAAAAATTTAACTTCAAAAGGACATAAAACGTGTATCTGATGTCCGATCGAGACGATTTTTTTTCCAAGCTGATTATTTTATTGATATCTACGCGAAATAATACCACACGTCACCATAGGACTTATAGTTTTACGTTTATCAATTATTGACCATATATAGGGCAAAATTATAAGAAAAAACAAAGGAATTGAGTCTAACCCATAGATCTTTAAAAAATAAGCTAGTTTAAAAGAGAAATCGCCTCCAAAAGATACTCGAGGAAAAAGTTACGGACATTTAATGTTTCAACAAATGTAACGTTAAAGAGGTACTTTTGAAAATTTGAACTTCAAAAGGACATAAAACTCGCATCCGATGTCCAATCGAGGCGATTTTTTTCAAACCTAATTATTTTTTTATATCTACGCAAAAAATACCACACTCGGCTATAGTAATTATAGTTTTACGTTTATCGATTTTGTATCATATATTGGACAAAATTATAAGGAAAAAATGAAGGTCAAATCGAACAGAGGGATAGAGTCTACCGCGTAGATCTCAAAAAAATAAGCAAGTTTCAAAAAAATATCGCATCCAAAAGATACTCGAGGAAAAAGTTACGATGATTTGAAATTTCAAAAAATGTAACGTTAAAGGGGTACTTGTGAAAATTTGAACTTCAAATGGACATAAAACGCGCATCCGATGTTCGGTCGAGGGGATTTTGTCAACCTGATTATTTTTTGATATCTAAGTAAAAAAACACCACACACATTTATAGTAATTATAGTTTTACGTTTATCGATTTTTTACCATATATTGGACAAAATTATAAGGAAAAAATGAAGGTCAAATCGAACAGAGGGATAGAGTCTACCGCGTAGATCTCAAAAAAATAAGCAAGTTTCAAAAAATAATCGCATCCATGAGATACTTGAGGAAAAAGTTACGATGATTTGAAATTTCAAAAAATGTAACGTTAAAGGGGTACTTGTGAAAATTTGAACTTCAAACGGACATAAAACGCGCATCCGATGTTCGATCGAGGGGATTTTTTTCAACCTGATTATTATTCGATATCTAAGAGAAAAAACACCACACACGGCTATAGGAAATATAGTTTTACGTTTATCGATTTTTGACCATATATAGGACAAAATTATAAGAAAAAAATGAAAGTAAAACCGGACAAAGGGGTAAAGTCTACCGCGTAGATCTCTAAAAAAAAATAATCCCATCCAAAAGATACTCAGGAAAAAGTTACGATGATTTGATGTTTTAACAAATGTAATGTTAAAGGGGTACTTGTTAAAATTTGAACTTCAAACAGACATAAAACGTGCATATGGCTTTCGATCGAGTTAATTTTTTTTCAACCTAATTATTTTTTTGATATCTATGCGAAAATACACCACACACGGTCATAGTCTTATTGTATTGCTTTTTGACCATATATAGGGCAAAATTCTAAGGAAAAAATGAAAATCAAATTGGAGAAGAAGGAATTGATTCTACCGCTTAGATCTCAAAAAAATAAGCAAGTTTAAAAAAAATAATCTCCAAAATATACTCGAGGAAAAGTTACGACCATTTGAAGTTTCAACAAATGTATAGACTTGTGAAAATTTAAAATTCAAACGAATATAAAATGTGCATCTGATATCTTATCGAGGCGATACTGTTTTTCAACCTGATTATTTTTTTATATCTACGCGAAAAAACACCACACACGACCATAGGATTTATAGTTTTACGTTTATCCGTTTTTGACCATATATAGGGCAAAATTATAAGGAAAAAATGAAAGTCAAATCGGAAAAATAGATTGATTCTACCGCTTAAATCTCGAAAAAATAAGGAAGTTTAAAAAAATAACCTCCAAAAGATACTCGAGGAAAAAGTTACGGTCATTTGAAGTTTAAACAAATGTAACGTAAACGGGTAATTGTGAAAATTTGGACTTCAAATGGAAATAAAACAGGCATCTGATGTCCGATCGAGGCTATTTTTTTCAAACCTGATTTTCTTGTGATATATGCGCGAAAAAACACCACACACGGCCATAGGAGTTATAGTTTTACGTTTATCGGTTTTAACCATATATAGGGCAAAATTATAAGGAAAAAATAAAAATCAAATCGGACAAAGAGATTGAGTCTATCACGTATATCTCAAAAAACAAACAAGTTTAAAAAAAGAATCGCATCCAAATGATACTTGAGGAAAAATTTACGGCCATTTAAAGTTTCAACAAATATAACGTTAAAGGAGTATTTGTGAAAATTTAAACTTTAAACAGAAATAAAATGCGCATTCGATGTCCGATCGAGGAGTTTTTTTTTTAAACCTGATAATCTTTTTTATATCTACGCGAAAAAATATCACATACTGCCATAGGACTCATAGTTTTACGTTTACCAATTTTTGACCATATATAGGGCAAAAATATAAGAAAAAAATAAAAGTCAAATCGGACAAAGGGATTGAGTCTAATGTGTTGATATAAAAAAGATAAACAGGTTTAAAAAAGAATCACATTCAAAAAATACTCGAGGAAAAAGTTACAACCATTTGAAGTTTCAACAAATGTAACGTTAAAGAGGTACTTGAAAAAATTTGAACTTTAAACAAACATAAAACGTGCATCCGATATCCGATCGAGGCGATTTTTTCCAACATGATTATTTTTCGATAACTACGTGAAAAAACACCACACACGGTCATAGGACTTATAGTTTTACGTTTACCGATTTTTGACCATATATAGGGCAAAAATATAAGAAAAAAAATAAAAGTCAAATCGGACAAAGAGATTGAGTCTATCGCGTATATCTCAAAAAAATAAACAAGTTTTAAAAAAGAATCGCATCCAAAAAATACTCGAGGGAAAATTTACGGTCATTTGAAGTTTCAGCAAATATAACGTTAAAGGAGTATTTGTGAAAATTTAAACTTTAAACAGACATAAAACGTGAATCCGATGTATGATTGAGGATTTTTTTTTCCAACCTGATTATTTTTTTGATATCTACGCGAAAAATAGCACACACCACCATAGGACTTATAGTTTTACGTTTATCAATTTTTAACCATATATAGGGCAAAATTATAAAAAAAAAACAAAGGAATTGAGTCTAACGCGTAGATCTTTAAGAAATAAGCTAGTTTAAAAGAGGAATCGCCTCTAAAAGATACTCGAGGAAAAAGTTATGGACATTTAATGTTTCAACAAATGTAACGTTACAGAGGTACTTTTGAAAATTTGAACTTCAAAAGGACATAAACTCGCATTCAATGTCCAATCGAGGTGATGTATTTCCAACCTAATTATTTTTTTATATCTACGCGAGAAAATACCACACTCGGCTAGAGTAATTATAGTTTTACATTTATAGGATTT